TGGGTGTGGATGGGGATGGGAGTTGGACTTGTGGTGGAACTCGTGCTTGAAATGGTGCTTGACCTTGTGCCAACGTTGATTTGGTGCCGTTATCACCGTTCTTGTGATTTTTCATGACTTTGACTTGACCTAACCTAACCTACATATTCCCTCACCTCCCCCTTTCCAACCGCCAACCGCCATTCCCCTCCCCTAGCTTCGATCTCGTTCGCAGATGCAAGCGAGGATTCCCCATGTCCATATAGATTCCTCTGGCTGTTTTTCGAAAGTGAGTTTGTCGTTTTTGGGGGGGGGAGGGGGATAGGGAGGGAGGGAGGGAGGTTGTGAGGTAGCCTTGTTTTTCGTGTTAGATCTAGAATCTAGAGATGATATATCTTTTTTGGGGTCGAAGTATGCGGGTTTGTATGGTGGTGGGGAACATGCGTATGTGGTTTTGTAGGTGTGGTGTTGATGAGGGGTACTTTCTGAGTGTACCTACAGTGGGCCGCGGGACGCGAAGGAGGCGCGTTGGGCGGAGAGGGTTAGCGTGGACTGGGTTACCTAAGGATGTTTTTCTTCTCGTGTCTTTTGACGTCAGGTCTGTTGATGTCTTTGTGATATTGAGGATTTCTGTACACTCGCATCCTATTTCGTCTCGTGAGACAAACTCATCAACATGCCAGTGTTCCTTCGCTCTCCAGCATAACGAACATCGCTTAATAGGCAGCAATGTGGGCACCGCCGAGTCCATGCATACTGGCTGAGCACATCAAATCCCTGAGGCTGCAAGAGAATGGAATTTGTTTGTGATGCTCAATTGAGAATTATGTGGTAATGTGATGTTTGGAGTATTGGAAGGATGCCATCGCATGAACTGTTGCCTCAGTGGTTGCCTCAATGGCTGCCTCCATGGCCCTCGCCGTACGCTAAGCGCGCGCCGTCAAGCTGAGATGATTCTTCCTCAAGCAACGGATTCGTATCAATCCACTTTGCCAGGCATTCAGACAATATCCAAGCATGTGGCTATGCAAGACAAGCCTGCTCAGCCCATGTGGCACGGTGAGGAGGCTGTAGGCAAATACGTGGTGAAGGTGAGCCCGTTTGCCTCTGCGTCGCTAATAAAACCTTCTACACCGTTCTGTCCACATCATCGTCTCCCATCTCACCGTAATTTCTGGCCTACCTGGAAACTTCATTCTTGTTACGCTTGCCAGCCTTGCGCGGTACCGCTTTGTAAACTTTACAATCTTGTTCGGCTTTGATCACTCACCAAATTTGCACTCCCACTGGGTCTACGATCCGTCATCTGCCCCGAAGGCTCGCCTGTGGGGTCCACCTCTCAGCAGCGCGCTTGAGAGCAATGGCTCCATCGACCAAAGAGACTGCGTACATCTATCATCACGTGGTACTTCCCCCAAAGCTACCCCAGGAAGATGATTATGATCCTGCGCATGAGAGGGTACTCGTTGAACTTGTCGTTTGTGCTCTTTCCGACTTGAAGGACAACGTGGACCGCCAGCATTGCTCGACGGTACAGTCTGCCATTGAGACGATCGAAAACTTTCAGCATTGTCGAGACAATTTTGGCAACATCAGCGACATCTCACTAGAAACTCTCTTGGTCAAATGCGCACGCGGTCACCTTGACGGGATCGTGCCGCTCGAAGTAAAAAAGCAGAATGCGGTGAGCTTCATCATGTCAAAGAGAACGGAGCACACACTAATTCTATTTGAAAAATAGGCAATCCTCGTCAGTCGATGTGCCGACGATGTCATTTTTGAATACTTTGAGCTGTCCCCCACCAACGCCTCTTCGATGCAAGCCGGGCGTCTCATACGTTCCTTTCCTGGGTATGCTTCACGGGTTCCTAGCCAGGAAATGACCGAGCCCGAGCTCTGCAAATCACTCGCAAGTACAATCGCCACAATGACGACCCAGGTGGCACCGGATTTTCGCCCTGAGGTTCGGAAAAACAAGGCGATGGAAGTTGAGACTCGTGACACTACTCATCCGGGCCTGATATCAGACTTTCTCATGAGCGTTATTACCGCACTCGGTCAGTCAACAGACATCAAGCGCATCTCTAAGCACACTCGTGAAGAAGTACTGTGGAACCATTGCTTGCAGCCATGGCGGAGATCTCCTCTATGGCTGCTTCTCCGCGTCACTCTTCAACTCTTCTTCACCCGTAAGGATATCCTCACGAATGGTAGTGGTGACCTATACAAGTCCTTCATGGTGTTTATGCTTGCACGAGTGCTCACTTTGGTATGTCCACCGCGAGGAACTCTCATTGCAAACATTGTGACTAATCGACCTCTTATACAAGGCCAAGAACTATTGGAACGATCTAGGCAGTGAAATCATTCACATAACATCTGCAAAGTTGCACCGCCGATTGCGCAAGCTTAGGCTATCGAAGCAAGCATCCTGTCTCAAACCAGAATGGGCGCAGCCGATCAAGAAAGACATTGCCAGCGCTCATGCCGTCATTAAGAAGCAATGGCTTAAGGTCACAGCTGATCCTCAAGCCAATATCGATACGGCTATAGTCAAGCGCTTACGACCCGAAGATGACCTTGACATGAATCTCCCGGCTTTGGACACGTTCCTTTCTGAAGCTGCTGCTCGAAAGCGTAACGCCTCATCCACAGAATTCGAACCGTCCTCAACCTATCCACGATACGATTCTTCCGAATTTCCTGATACATCTTTCGGGACAGGCAATCATAAGATCTTCTGCCTAGCAGCATTCGAAACCTGGGTCGAGAAATACTTGAAGACCTGGACACAGCAGCATGCCCATGATCCGGGAACTTGTGGAAAACTTCGTCGAATAATGGAATCCTACCATACCAACGCCTACGCAGTGTATTCCGATGTACCCATTAGCCTCTCAATCATGTATCTCACGCTTGTGGAGATATGGGTTGCGTGCGATGAATCTGCATGCTCAATTCATCCTTTGCTACTGGAATACGATCCTGAGACTGATTTGGCCGAGTTACAATGCCTGGTTCTTCCCTTGAAAACCCAACTGGAGCGTCTGCATAATGTTGAGGTCTATGTCTCCTCTAGACGGGTGTCAGCAAGGAAATCTCTCCCGTCAGTGTACCGGCAATTCGGGGACCCCTCCTCGTTTGCTGTAAGGTACTTCGATGGTGATGTGCAGCTTCAGTCCACTCTGGCTCAGATTGAGCGTAAAGCGGCGCAGAAGAGGCAGCAGAAATGCCAAGAGTTAGCTCGGCTTCAGGAACAGTATCAGTCTTTGATGCATGCATACAACACTGGAGTTTGCCAGACCGAGACCTATATCTACAATCGCCGATTTGGGTACACAACTACACGGCATAGAAGAGATTGCTCACGATGCGCCAAAAGTCACAAGGCAGAAGCGCTTAGTATTCAGATCTACGAATGGCCAGTGTCGTCTCAGTCGGCAGTCGCCAAAGCAACTGTTTTCGAACTGCACATACCGAGAGCTTTTGGAGATTGGCGAGATAGTTCTGCCTATATGGTTGCCTCTGTACTTGGATTCAAAGCCGATGAGGCTTCGAAACCAAGCTACAAGTTCACGCTTGATATGCACAGCGAGATATCTAGCCTACTCTCAAAGCAGTATCATGAACGCCGCATTATTCCGCTCTCTACGATCAAACCACATTCTGTTACTCACCGCAAGAATAAACAGGCAGTGCATCTCCTGAACGAGAGCGACGTCTGCTTGAAAAATGCCATGCGATTGGAATACTATGATAGATCGTTGAACATCATTGCTGGACGTGCGCCTATTCATACGGAAGATGTCGCGAAGAAGTGCAGATATAAATTACCACAGCGATCGAAGGCCCTGGAGCGCTTTGCGTATAAGCCACCATCTTTATCAGATGGCCTTGGGCCGAATGAAGTCATTGTAGGTTGTTTTCCGCATGCGTTGTCCTTTCTATCGCTGCCAACTCAATATTCTAAGATGGTAGTGGTGCCACATACTGGCTACCGTTCACGATCTGTTATCCTTCATTGTTCACCAGCTAACTTTGTTTTCATTTTAGGCCAGTTTATCCGACTGCCCGTTAAACATATCCATCGAAGAGTACAAGGCTTTGACATCAATTCCGCTTGGGAGTCGAATCGTGTATTCGAACATCATCACGCAATTGGCAATACCGGCCGTAGATTTCACAAAACCGGAAACACAATGCTTCATTCTCCAGGCTGCTCAACAAGTCGGTAAGCCGAATGGACATGTGGAGCGTGTAACTCACGACATCCTCACGGAAGAGAAGTTCGGCTATGCTATGCTCCACCAGCTGAATGTGGCACTTGAGCGCATGTCTGAGAACTGGGAGTCGTGGCGCGCCGTTGCGACTCTCTCATTGCTGGCAAAACGAGTATATTGCCTCAACGATTCTGTAGGTGTTCGTACGCAGGCTTTGGAGATTCTGGTTCGAATACGTGAAGTATGCATGAAATGGGTCTCTCGACTAAAGCAACGCGTGGCTGCTTCGACCGACAACAATCAGCGGAGTGAGCTATGCTCGCGAGCTACAGAGATCGCTCTGATATGCACCGACACCTATGATGTCGCAGACCTCGATTTTGATGCGATTCTCCGACAGGAGTCAGCTGTCTCTACATTGCTAAAATGTTCCATCATGATCCAAGAGAATTCCAGCACGGTACAGTCTGACTATCAGAGTTTGTACAACTGTTCGCTCCAAGCATGGAAATCCATGATGTATCGTATCTTCCCTAAATTACAGGCATACATCCAGTTCGACAAGACCGGGCTTGAAGAGTCTATATCGACTAATTGGGCGGCTTTCCAGCCAGCTTCAACGGCGCACTGGGTTTCTCTAGCAACGCCACGAGAACATTGGGTCTATGTTCAATCGGGTACTCTGCCAGTACACTTCAATCTCGTCACTGGGGAACTCCTTGTGAATGGACTTCCTTTGGCTCGACTACCACAGGTATACTCAGACCATAGCATGTATGCCCCCTTGTTCGCAAGGTCGACGCTGGAGGTCGTTCCAACGGACGAGCCAGGTCTTGAATTTGGCGCGAAAGCCCCATACCATGGCTTCAGTCTGCACTTCGGAATGAAGAATGAAGACATGTTGGTGGTTGCTATCAAGAATTCTTGCCGCTGGGACCTGCTTCCGCAACGAGTATTCCAACATCAATTACCTCACAGTTTCGTCTCTGACTACACGCATTGGTATAACCATAGCAACCAGATCGTTGAATTTCGACCTCGATCTGCGCCTTGGTCTATCGAGGACGATATGTGGCGCCTTCAACATGACATCGGTACGAGTACATGGCGGTTAGTGAAAACAGACGAGGTCTTAGTCCACAGGACTAGCACATCTGCACGAGGATTTTCGACTATTTTCCGATCTTTGGAAGATGAAAATCATATTCACATAATCCTCAACATCATGAGCCGAGTTGTGGATATCGAGCTTCCACGACTACAGCTCAGCTTCTTTATTGGGCATCGTGAAGCACAAATTCAGTCACGTCAGTACCGTGGCATGTTCATTGATTCTGAACAGAGTATTGGATCTTTAGTCGGCCTGAACAGCAAGCTCGTCTTGAAGCATCAGTCAGATCGCACAATTCTGATTCCCTGGCCTTCGGAAATCAATAGAAACACCGTCCAATACCAGCGGATGCCGAACTTGCAGCATACAAAAGTTTCAATAAGCAAGACTGCGACAACAAAAGTATACGCCTATGCTATAGACGAAGATCTCGGGCGCATCATTGACACGGGAGACATGGAAAGCAAACTTTTCCTTTCGTTGTTGCATGCACTTACCTCGCACTGCCTGCCGGACAAATTGACGAAAACCACCGGTGTCGAGAGCAGTCTCACCATTCTCCGCTCGGCTGCCACAAGGTCGTTCAAATATCTAACGGAAACCCAAGTTAAATTACTGGAATACATCGGACTCCTTTCTGCAAAAAGAGCATTTTACCCTTCACACTTGCGAGTAATGCAAGAGATCAACTGGAATGCAGCTCTTCCGTCCTCAACACAGGATCCATATTTACGTACAGCTGTAGGCGCGATTTTTGATCATGCTATGAGCATGTCATTATTCTATCCAGAAAGCACCATCTACAATTCGATCAGAAAATCCCGTGAGGCAATGTCTTCTGATGCTCTCCTCGAACATCGCAACATCATTCGCACAGCCGTTTTCAGAGTTTCCGGATTTGGTGCGGAAGACTTCACTACCAGTCTAGACAAGACCTATAACGCACGAGATTCTGGTTTATCCACTCCCGCAGCTTTGAGAGCTCATCAGACGATGACCATGACGTTGCGTGACCGAGAAGCCCTTCTAAGCGCGATCCCCAACATCAAGGGTAGCTTACTTGGGAATCACTTTCAGAGTGCTACTGTTGCCGGTATAGACCCGTCTTTCCAGCCCTCGCGTCTTGGATATGATGCCAAGTGGTTGGAGGATCCCACGCCATTCCTCGTCAAGAATTGGTGCAGCCTCCATCAACATCTCCCAGGCGCTTCCAGTCGCAGTAATCGATTCAACATTGCAGTCTGGTTAGCGACGATGAGCTATGCAAAATCTGCTGATGTGGAAGTCATCCAAACTCTGTTTGCATTTTACAGATTACGGGACTTTGCAGGTAAACAACCACCAACTGCGCCAAAGTTTGAACTTCCCCGCGGAAACACTTACGATAAGAGCGAAATTCGAACAATTGCGCAAGTAGCTGCGAAATCATTCGACATATCTGCAGAAGCCAATCTTCCCATACTGGAGCAAGAGACAGAAGAAGAGCATGACTTGAGAATGCGTTCAACCTTCGAACATAATCGGAGTATTGCCATTAAGGGCTTTGCTGCAAATCTTCAACTCCAGTGGCCAATCCAAAGGCCTACAACCCCTAAGGACAAGCATATAAGTACATACATTGAGCTTGGAGAAGCCATGGAAAAGGTGAAGGATAAATTCCGAGTTTGGTATGATAATCGCGAATTCCACAATTATCTTCAGAGCATGGGAGATGTGTTGGCACGCCAAACATGGACGGGAGTCCCATGTGCAAACTACGTTCTCTCGTCGCCGGAACCATTACTTCAGTTGAGCGATAAGATTCGGACTTTTGGACCAGACGATATATTTGCAACAGCACCAGAGACTGGTAAGCAATTAAACAACGGAGTGTCTTCAGAGAGCTGATTCATTGCTAGCTACCGTCGAGAACCCTCACTTTCGTGCTGCGCCTGACGAGCCCGAATTATTGACAGAAGAATGCACAATTTCAAAGCCGAACTCTGGCTTCCAAGCCTCTTTGAAAGATTTGTGCAAAGATCTCGAGAGTTACGCCCAGTCGAAATGTGAGAAAACTTATGTTGATGATTTACGCACGAGCTGTGCAGCTTTGGACCGCCACTTCGATGACAACAAAGGGCAAAAAACATTAACCGAGGGAGTGAAAGATCGGCTATTGAAGTATCAACAAGATTGCCGAACTTATCTCGATAATTTTACGAATACCCTGTCCATGTGTGCGATGGAAGACGATGATTACTCAGGCGCACAATATTCTGTGAGAATATCCCGGTTATTCTGGCTCAGCCAGCTCCATCGCAATCGATTCGACACGTTATCCGATGCTTGGAAATGTGTGATTATTGACTATGGTCTTGCTGTTACTCATCTTCGTCGGGCCCAACGATTGATGGCTTTGGCTGACAGGCATGTTGACTTGGCAGAAGAGCTTCGTCACGTTGGACATACTAATTGGTACCCGCAAGAACATCCAGAGACACTTCTCTTGGAAGCCGAGAGTGGTATAATGGTTCGCGAAGAACAAGAGTTTATTGCAAACAAGATGCGTTCGGAGGGTGGAGATAACATCGTCTTGCAGCTTCTAATGGGAGGTGGCAAGTCCACGACGATTGTGCCAATGCTCAGCGCATATTTCTCTGACAAGAAGAAGCTTGCCCGGGTTATTGTTGCGAAACCACAGAGTCAACAAATGCAACAAATGCTGATATCGAAGCTTGGAGGGCTTCTCAATCGCCGCATTTTCCACATGCCATTCAGCAGGAATCTAAAGATGACGCTGGCCACTGCGACTGCAATTCACAAGCTCTACACAGAATGTGTCGCCAGCCAGGGCGTGCTTCTGGTGCTTCCAGAACAGATCCTTTCCTTCAGGCTCATGGCCATCGAATGCATGCTCACCGATGAGCCGGCAATTGCAAAGTCGTTATTCTCGACGCAGACTTTCTTCGAAGAAACTTGTCGCGATATTGTAGATGAATCGGATGAAAACTTCAGCGTGAAGTTTGAACTAATATACACTGAAGGCGCCCAGCAAGCCATTGAGTTTGCGCCAGAACGATGGCTTATCATCCAAGAGATCATGAACCTTCTTCCACGATACGCTGCAAAAATTCATGCAGAGCAACCCGACACTGTTGACATTCAAGGAGAAGGTGATGGCAAGTTTCCTCGGATTAGACTGCTTCACAAGGATGCAGCTGATCAGCTGATCCACTACCTTGCAACTCACATTGTGGAATACGGTATTGCAGGCTTACCATGTCGGTCACAGTCACCAGATATGCAGGCGGCTATCCTCAAGTACATCAAAAAGACGGAGCTCGATACGCTAGAGATTGAAGCAGTCGAGAAGAGCAAATTCTGGACTGAGTCCACAAGATTGCCTTTGCTCCTCGTGCGGGGTCTTCTAGCATGTGGAGTGCTTTCATTCGTACTTACTACAAAGCGCTGGAGAATCAACTATGGGCGCGATGCTTCTCGAGAACCAGCCACCAACCTCGCGGTTCCTTACCGGTCAAAAGATGCGCCGTCTCCGCGCTCGGAATTTTCTCACATAGATGTGGTGATACTACTTACTCTTTTGTCATACTCCTACGGAGGACTAAGCGACGAAGAGTTGTTTGATACTTTGACTCACCTCTTAAGCTCCGACCAAGCCAATATTCATTACGATGAGTTTGTCAGCACTGCATCTTCCACCTTACCTTCTGCTTTTCGGCAGTTGTCTGGTCTTAGCATACGAGACAGACACCAGTGCGTTATGGAGATTTTCCCAGCACTGAGGCACTCCAAGAAAGCTATCGACTACTTTTTGTCGTATCTCGTATTCCCGAAACAACTGAAGCAGTTTCCCAGCAAGCTCAGTAACTCCAGCTGGAATCTTGGCATGAAAAAGGCGCACCCTTTATCAGGATTCTCAGGAACCAACGACACTCTACACTTGTTGCCTTTGGATGTGAAGCATCTTGATCTACCAAGCCAGAGCCATACGAATGCCCAGGTCCTGGCGTTCCTGCTGCAGGAAGAAACTTCGGTCAAGCTCCTTCCCCCAAGGTCAAATATTGATAAAAGCGACGGCCAACACCTACTGAACGTTGTTGAGCAACTCAACTTTGATATACGAGTAGTTCTTGACTGCGGTGGTTACATCATGGAGCAGAGCAACAAGCAAGTCGCAAAGACATGGTTGAATATGAGCAACAGCGACATCCAGGCTGTTGTTTATTTTCAAGACGAGGAGCTATCTGTGCTCGACCGTTCCGGTCGTGTTGAATCATTTCAGACCTCACCCTTCGCCAAGAATTTAGAGGTCTGCATGGTTTACCTCGACGAAGCTCATACACGTGGAACCGATCTCAAGCTACCACGGGATTACCGAGCCGCTGTTACTCTCGGTAGCCAGCTAACCAAAGACCGTTTGGCGCAAGCTTGTATGCGGCTCCGAAAGCTGGGGCACGGGCAGTCAGTGACTTTCATTGTGCCTGAAGAGATCGCCATCAAGATTCGTAAACTCACCCACAAATCAACGAACGAGGCAATCCAAGTCAAAGACGTTTTATGCTGGTGTATTAGCGAGACGTGGCAAGATTTGAAGCGCAGTATGCCATTATGGGCAGTGCAGGGGCATCGCTTCGAACATCAGAGAGACCTCTTGAACGGTGTTGATACCACCAAAGATCAGGCCGAAGCGTTTCTCGAGCCGGAAGCTCAAGATCTCGAATCGCGGTACAAACCAAAGGCAAAGGAACAGGATACTGCCAATAATTTCATTAATTGGGACTTATCCAACCCCAACCTCGCTCGAATCGTATCGCGATGTCGAGACTTCGAAGCAATGGGCTTCAGCGCTGCGGCGCTCAGCGAGGAACAGGAACGCGAGCTGTCTCCTGAGATTGAGCAAGAAAGGCAGGTCGAGCGACCACAGCGTATGACCGCGGAAAAACATAGCCTTCATCCTGATCTTCACCGTCTGGCATCCTCTGGTAATCTTGTTCTGAGCTCAGAAGCATATGAACCTGCCTTCCAAACGCTTCGATCAACCAGCGCAGCAAGGGTTTTCAAGCTTTCAAGCTTACCATCCGATTTATTAGTCACAAAAGACTTTGCGCGTACAGTAAAATTGCCTCGGGGGTCTACTCATGCTCCCAACATATCAGACTCATATCAGCGGTCCATACAATTTGTTCTCTCTGTTCCGAATGGCACCGATCCAGGAACAGTTCAGAACTTGATCATCATCTCGCCATACGAAGCCGATAAGTTGCTGCCTACAATCCTTTGCTCGAAGAAGATTACCTTGCACCTTTTTGCATCGCGTCCAAATGCAAGTTTCAGAGCGCTTGATGATCTCGTGTTGTACAACGTTGGTCATGCGTTCACTGCGGGTTCTGTCTCCCGCAGTCTTACAATGCAACTCAACATATTTGCTGGTAGTCTCTACCTACGCTCCATCTCAGAGTACAATGAGCTCTGCGACTACCTTGGATTGCTGCGAACGAAAGCCAGAGCCGACCAGAATGTATGGGCAGATGGCTTCATTGATCCGCCATGTGGCTTATGGAAACTGGAGAAGTCTCCTGTGTCCTTCCTCAAAGTTCTGCTTATGAAGATCCGTCATGAGGGCGAAGGGGTGGAGAAGACCCACTTGGGCAAGATTTTGAACGGTATTAGATTGGAAGAGTGTGACTTTGAGGAGCACTGAGCCAGCATGGTGCCTGATGTCTTTGGATCGGTATTGTGCCCTTCAAGAGGGTTGGTAGTTGGAATGAATGGGTGGATATGGCAAGATTGTAACGAGACTTGGCTCACCGTTAGAAAATGCATGCGTGCTCATGATCTGGAACTTGGATATTGGGAGCTATGTGGCGGCTAATACACTTGTTACTTAGTGTTGCATATCGCACAGAAAACACTCTTTACGAGCAGCATAAATTGCTCGGATGCTGTGACGTATGCTTTGACTCACTCTGCTCCATGACTTTTAGATGTATACAGGAACACTAGTGAAGGTGTTTAATACCTGCCCCAGACTCCATATCTCTACTCTACCAAGCCCGTAGGTCAATTCCGAAATTTCACCACGTGTCAGCGTAGAGTCCGATCTCAACACCCTCCCGTCTCTTGCGCAGCACTAACTTGCAGTCGCCAACAACTTCGTTATACAGAGCCACTTGAACTCCGTCTGCATTCTTCTAAAATTCTCGGCCTGCCTGGCGTACATGGAAGGACTCCTCTTTCTCTTCCTTAACTCCCTTACTGAACCCCTTTTGAAATCACTTTCTTGGGTCTAAAACCACAAGTATATTATCGTTTAAAAGGGTACATCAATGTCTCATGGCTGCAATTTTTTCATTGTATCATGCATCACGACGACCGCTCAGGACGCGTTACTGACATTGTGTGTGGAATCTTTGGCTGTCCCTTGACCTCCTCGACCTCCTCACTGCGAGCCAGCCCAGGATACCAGGTGACAGCTTTCACTCTCTTCGTAAGTTTCATCTTTAATGTGCTAGCATAATATACTAATAATCTCAGCACAGAATATGCAAGATATACTCAAGGCTATAAAAGAAGCTATATAAAGTAGAAGCAGAGATTTAAAGCGCGTGACTAAGTAGTTAGAAGAGCTTCAGGAACGAAAGAGAAGGGAGATGCTCGCTGTTTCTATTCTCATTATTAGCGATTCAGGTGCCACCCTTTTGCTTATTAGGCCATACATTCTAGCTAATTGGACGATAGTCACTACTTTTGACACAGCTGGTATATTACTTGCGTTAACAAATCAATGCAGAGATCGAGGGCTAATCTTTTGAAAGACGTGGTAAGGGAAAGAGACGTAATATGGGGGCAATAGGGTAACCAATTAAACACAACTCATCTTTACGAAAACTAGGATCCAGACCATATCCCACACAAAGACGACGAGGAACCCGAATAAGAATAAGAACTCCAGTCTGGCTGGCCAAGGTGCTGAATATAGCTAGAGCCTGGAAGCCATCGGCAATGTAACCAGATTTTAGGGATAGCAGAGGAGCCAGCAGCAGAAGTCCTCGATATAATTGCCCAGGAAGAAGCACAGCCGATGTTGGAACGAGCACGAGCCAACTTTGCATCGATACAACTTCAAAGCATTCGCTATCTTATCGAGTTTTGCAATTTACCATTAAGACCTGTGCCTGAACCAGGCAGGGTGATAGGAAAATGAAGCATACCGCCAAAAGATGCCACCGATAACTTTCATGTGCCCTTGACCATTAACGATCCTCCCGGCACTCAACCCCATCAACGCAATCAGCCAATTCCTAAACAAAATTCATAAAAGCCATACTTTCGTATCCGCCACCTCTTCGCCCCAGCCCTCCCACCAACTAATCCCCACGCTACACTCTCGCTCTCACAAACCTGACTTCTCTCCTCGGCGGCCCCGCGGTAAAATGATCCAAAACCCCCTCCCAATAAGCATCCGGCACAAACCCATCCGGTAACACAACATCAAACTCACTCACCACCCTCCCAGTCACACTCCTCAACTCCATCATGGCCAGTCCCTTGCCCGCACAGCTGTACGGGCCCGTGGAAAACGGCATAAAGGCCTGTCTATTCAGCACCATCTCTGGCCTCGTAGTCCAGCGCTCAGGAATAAATTCATCCGGCTGAATGAAATTGCGGGGATCACGGTACATGGGAAAATGGGGCATATGCACAATCATGTTGCCGGGGATGAAGCGGTCATGAATAGTGAGGCCCTCAGGGGGCGTCACTCGTTGGGCGCCAAAGAAGACGGAGGGCCAGAGGCGCATGGATTCATGGATTACGGCGTCGAGGAGGGGCAGCGGCTTCTGGCAGTTGTAGTCCATGGCGTTGTCGTGAAATTCTTTGCGGACGGCACGCATGATTTCTGGGCGCGTTGCCAACTGCATGAAGATGAAGGTCAAGGCCGTGGATGTGGTTTCGCTGCCGGCGCTGATGATGAGTCGGGATTCGCCATAGAGGAGATCGCGGCCAGCAGCGTTGTTGGGTGTTGCAGCGATGAGATGGGAGATGAGATCCGGTTTGTTATCTTTGAGCTATTGGAAGTCAGCTGGACAGGCACTATCGGTTTGTACATCGTTACTCACAGCCATTCTCTGCTTCATTTGGCTGACACTCCAATCTCGCCACTCCTTCATCGGCCCAGCCACCGATGTCAGGACCGACAAAGCATTCATCAACCACGGCATATGGTACATGTAGCCCATTGCTCTGACACCATTGGTAAAGGTTGCCAGAATACTTGCGGCGACATCGCTCTGCTGGCCTTTGATGAAGCCCATTGGCTTGCCAAAAGCTAGCGCAGCCATTGTGTCATAGCTGTAATATGTTGTGTACTCCAAAAGTGGCACAAGCTTTCCCTCTTCACCCCGCAGTCGCATCAGCAACTGGTCCGTGAACTGCTCGATCCGAGGGGCAAAAGCGTTCAATGAAGTCTTCATTGCGTTATCCCAGACCCTGCGTCGCTGACGATGAAAGGCTTTATCGCGGTTAAGATGCAGAGACCGTTCCATGACATCGTAGAATGGTCCTGGTATTCCGATACAGTCAGCAGACTCTTAGGTGAAAATTCGAACAAATTCCTGACCTTTTGTCGTTTTACTATGAAAGCCGAGGATCTGTTGAACTGCAGCAGGATCGAAAATCGAAAGCTCGCGCGGCCCTATTGATATCAGAATGAAACCCTGTAAACGATAGAATGCTGTGACGTACCTGTCCTCACATAGTCACCGTATTCTCCTTGTAACTGCTGCAAGACGCGATGATAGTGAAGCTTACTAGACCACACCTGCTTGAGTGTCCACCATCTTGATAGCTTTGCACCAGCCGGGCCAGGAAAGTCCCTCAACGGATGGAAGAATGCGCGATAGACTCCAATGTAAACCCAGAGTGTAGCCCAGAAGCTCGTGGCTACCAAAGTTGCGGTAACGAAGCCAGTGTAATAGCCCAAGACCCAGTAGGCGGTACACGACCCGACGATAATAGGCAGTGCCAGGTGGTCAACCTCGACTCTTCGTAGAACAAATTCATGTAACGCGACAGCGAGCAAAGGCATGAGTGCAAAGACGGTCATGGGGACGGATTCCATATTCGACATGGCCCAGGGATGCGGTCAATCACACGTGGATTTGGGGATCACAGGTGCGGATCTTGTGGTTCCTGAGGGTGGATGAAAGGGGTTATCTGTGTACCTTTGGTTCGATGTCGAACACTTCTTACGCGATCAGGAAGGTTCGTATGGGCTGTTCGCGTTTGTGCTCCACGTTTACGTTTTGTGGCTGGCCACAGGTATTTCTTGCTCCTTGTGCAGATCATGTCACAGCCTATGTTGGGACAGTGCGATAGTGGCGGCATGCAATTTGGCAAGGTCTGCCCTGTAGTTTGCTGTGCGCGCAAACACATGTACATACATACTGGGCGAGTATCCAACGCTAGTAATGTACTCGTGTGGCGTTTGGTGTGATTTCAGATCCTCCAGGCCCAGCAAACGGCTCATCCTCTAAGAGGCTTAATCCCATCTGGCTGCGCCGCTGGGGAAGCCGGTGCCATCTTCCGCAAAAAGCATAAGCAGTTTGGCTTCGGCTGCGGCGTTGAAGAATCCGGGTGAAGTACATACCCCTACCACTTGGAGACATTGACAGCGGAGATTATCGAGGCCGGGAGCGGTGGAGAATCCTAGTGGCTGTCATTGAACGGCTGAAGACGGTGGAGACAGTAAGGGATTACTATAGACAGGGGGCTGCAGTGAACAAGGCTGGTCTTTCTAGTTTTTACCTTGCTTCTTGACTTTGGACCGGCTAGTTGGGGTTGGGCGACGAGTAATCATGTCCAAGAGACTGTCCAACCCCTTGCAGCCACCATTTAACCGATGCATCCTGAAGGAGTCAACAATTCAGCTCCACTGATCCTCATGTATGCCCCATCGAAAATAGTGTTGATCTGTGATGCGAAAATGCTATGCTGTGTTACGACAACAGGTAGGATGGTACAACTACAGGCTTTCCGATTCAGCTCGTGGCGGTCCGCCCCTCATTCTTCTAAACACCCCTCCATAAACCCAAGCAGCATTTGTTCTCTGTAATCATGACTTCCAATACAGCAAAAGTAGGCTTGATGCCTGCTCCATCTGGAGTGACGGCAGATTTCAGTGGCGACAGGAGCGACCTCCAAAGCAGGATCATTGTGGTCTATCTGACCATGATGGTGATTTCGACTCTTGTCCTTGGATTGCGACTGTATACTCGCATCTTCATTCGGAGTATGACGGGACTAGATGATGCGCTTGTTGTTCTCAGTTGGATGGGGTGTATTGCATGGCTGGTAGTCTGCTTCCAGTGTAAGCTTCGACATCCCTTTTGAATGTCCCAGCGATCTGATGAGAGTTTGTAGCGTTTCAGTATGGCTTTGGTCAGCATCTCTGGAACGTGACGCCAGAACAAATGATGAATTACAGCAAGATGCTCGTTGGCATCATGGTAGTATACGTTTGGACGCCTGCGTTAGCAAAGCTGTCTCTGCTGGCACTGTACCATCGTCTGAATCCTGATCGCAAGATTCGATCGTGCATCTATGCACTGGCAGTGTTGATCATCGGATACTCTCTCGCCATCACCATCGTTGCAGCTGGCCCTTGCAATCCACAGACACACCTCGATCAAAAGTGCTTGACAGACCTGAACCTTTTCATGGCAATCATCAACATCCTTACAGATGCTATGATTCTCTGTCTTCCGATTCCGATGCTACACGCACTCATGCTTCCGATGAAGCAAAAGGTGCTACTTGGACTGGTATTTGCGCTTGGTTCCGGGTAAGAGTATCAGAGGTCTCATCTACTCTCGTACCTAACATTCGCTCAGGGTAATCGTCATATCCACTGTTCGTATCATTTACGTCTACAACTACATTAGCAATCCGGATGCGACATACTACCAAGCCGCGGCTTGCATTTTTTCAACAGTAGAACTCAACGGGGGCGTAATATGCGCATGTATCGCTCTGTTGAAGCCTTTCCTCCAGAAGCACTTGCCCTGGATGTTGTCATTTTCAAGCCATAATGGAAGCCAAGGAGGAAGTCGCAGATTCAAATTCTTTGGGAAACGAAGTGGCGAGAATAGCTACGAGCTACAAGGCGCCGGTGCGGATAAGAATGCGCCAGATCAGGTTGGCAAGACGGGAGGAAGAATCGCAGTGACTCGGTCTTACAGCGTTCAGGGATCGAAGACTGACAAAACTGACGGTGACAGCATGGAAGACCTTTTTACGCCAGTCTCAGATTCTAGTACCTGGAAATCAGCTAGATAATCGAAGTCTAGCCTTGATAATGATGTGTTACACATAAACCAGCTTGCTGTACCTGAAAGTCAACATGTGGGCGGCGCAAGGTTCAAATATTGGAAAGGTTGAACGGACCCTGAGGAGAAGACATAGCAGTCAGAAAGCATCGTTATTGAGGAGAAGGCTGTAATATATGATTGTCATATGGAGTCTTTGTTCAAGTGTGAGACCGGGGCGGAGTACGCAGACGCCATGTCGGCCTTGGCGTGTGTCATGCGCAGAAAGCTATACCTGATAGGTAGAGACGACGTTAACCAACTTCAAGGCGCCCTGCAAGGATAAACATATACAGGGTGAAAATACAATACACAGAATTCATTTTGCTCTGGGTATCATTCGTTACTACCAATGGAACCTTGTGAACCTGGTCTTTCGGCCCATAGCACACAGCGCTCTTACACATCAACTTCTGCTCTGAGTGAATGCCGTCCTCGCGCAATAGCGTCGCCCAAATCTGTCTTGTTCAACGCTTGTCCTCGTACACTGGAAATAAAACGACGCCCGCCATCAGTATTCTTTTTGTGGTTCTCTTCCTCTTTCGCATCTACAATCTCTTGCTGACGCACACGCTCCGCACGTTGTTCCTCGAGTGATGATGCCTCTGCTTGCATTCTTGCCAGACGATCAGCTGCACTCTCCTTTGGTTCTTCGGGTTTCTCAGTTAGTGGAGGTGCAGGTCTCGCAGGTCGCTCTTCGTCCCAGTGTCGACGAGGCTGATCGTATGGTTTTCGTGGAGGGGTACGATCACGACGTCGATAACTGTCCCGATCATCACGGTCATCCCGTCTCCGTGGTGAGCGTGAGCGCCGCCTGTGTTCATCGCGATGGCTCCGTCGGTAAGGCGAACGAGAGCGGGACTTTGATCGCCGACGGTGGCTGCCGTGATCATCTTTCTCGTCCCTATCTTGTCTTCGGTGTTTTCGCTCCCGTTTGTCCCGGTCATCGTAGTCATCAGATCGGGAGCGGGACCGATGTCGTCGGCTGCGGTGTTTGTGGTCCCTGTCTCTGCTCCGCTCTCTATCCCTTCCTTTGTCCTTATGTCTGCGTTCCCGTTGCTTTTCCTTTTCACGCTTCTCTGCATACTTTGCTTCCTTTTGTGCATCCTTCATTGCCTTGAGCTGCATCTCCATCTTCTGCTTCTGAATGATGAGGAGCGGGTCCTCAAGGACCTTCTTTTGCGTGTCGCGTGCAGTGTTGATGGGTGTAGCACCGACCGCATCTACTCCAACCGCTGCGCCCTTCTGCAGACTTTGTGTGTCGCTGGACTTGAGAAGTTGGTCGATCCTGCGCTTGCCGAGCAAATAGCCTTCGCGCTCTTCTGTGACGCCAGCACCTTCGCCGCTGGGGCCAGCATACATCCAATCTACGCGCTTGGTGATAGTCTTGCCACCCGCAGCCTCCTGCAATTTCTGGAGTTCCTCAATCTGGCGTTCCTCTTCGCGCTCTTTGCGGAGCTTTTCAATTTGTTTGCGCTCCTCGAGAGCCGACTTTTCTTCCTTCCAGACGCGCTCTTGGTTCTTGCGCAAATGGGGATGCCATGACTTCTTCAAGTTGAGATCACCACCCATGATGGTGACTTCTTCAGGATGATCGTGTGTCTGATATGGAGATGCAAGTACTAAGTAGTTTGAAGCAGCTCTGCTGGAGTAGGGTGGGCAGAACGAACTGGCGGAGTTAGATGTGTTGATGATAGGGAAGACGTCGCGCAACGCAGAGTTGGTAGGCGCCACAGCCCACAACACATGAATGCCAAGGCTTACTAACGCGGACCCACCCACCTCCGCGACTGCTCCGCAAAAGTTTCGTGATGGGCCTACACAAGCCAACGCAAACACTAAATGTGTGCATTGTAGTGGAGAGGCTATACCAGGTTTCTCACGGGACTATATCCAAAGGAATTGTAGGACTTGTTGATTATTCACTTCACCATCCTCTGCCATGTCCACACGAAAACGCAACGAATTCCTCGACATCGAGGACAGCGAAGACGACGAAAGAGGCTACGATTCCGAGGATGAAAGTAGAGCGCGCATGCTCCCCTCGTCAAAGCGCCAAAAGGTAGAACATGACTCAGAGAACGACGACGATGCCGATACCGACAACGAGGACCAAGAAGCAGAAGCGGAAGAAGAGAAAGACGGCAACGACGACAGCGACGTTGACAACGATGATGACGTCCCTTACGACAAAAGCGCAGAACTCGCCCACCTCGAAAAACTTGCTGCCTCCCTACCCTCAGAACTCAAGCTCAAGTCCACAACACTCGGAGAAGTCCTCCCCCCATCCTCCCTCAAAAAGGACAAGTCAGGCGTCATATACCTCTCGCGCGTCCCCCCCTTCATGAAGCCCACAGTCCTACGCTCTCTCCTCACACCCTACGGCGACATCGGTCGCATATTCCTCACGCCCGAGCCGAGCACCTCGCGCACACAACGACTGCGCTCTGGCGGCACCCGGCGCAAACTGTATCTCGACGGCTGGGTGGAATTCCTCAAGAAGAGAGACGCAAAGTTTGTTGCGGAGAATCTCAATGCACAGACCATGGGCGGGAAGAAGCGCGGGCGCTGGCACGACGAGGTGTGGAATATCAAGTACCTGAGTGGCGTCAAGTGGAGCCATCTCGTCGAGCAGATTCAGAACGAGAATGCAGAACGTGCGGCGAGGTTGCGGTTTGAAATTCAGCAGGGCAAGAAGGAGAATAAGGCGTTTTTGGAGAATCTAGAGAGGGGCAAGATGTTGAGCGGGATTGAGGCGACGAGGAAGAAGAGAGGCGAGGAAATGGATGATGAGAGGGCGCCGGGTGCTGAGGCTGCGAGTACGGCTGTTCCTGGGGATAGTAAGGCCGCAAGTGAGAAGCCGAGGAGGAGGAAGGGAAGGCTTGAATTCACGCAGCACACCGCGACAAGTAAGGCGTTCAAGAAGCCTGAGCCGGGGCAAGATGTGCACAGGGTGTTGAGCAGTATGATGTAGTTGATAAAAGAGCATGATATCCCAACAATTTAAACAGCCATTTCCGAATGATGTCTCTTGAGCTAATGATGCCCTCCCTTGTATTGCTACAGAACTTCATGTTCCCAAAGCAACCTTATACACGCAACGCCAGAACTCCGACATCTCGGCTTGTGAAACCAGGGTATAAACAACCTCTACCATACACCCATGGGCGCACCTTCGTTCCATCCATCTCTTGACCCTATATCGCCGTGCCCCTCTCAAAACTCTCCCTAATCTCGCTCGTATAGCGATTATAAAACCTCGCCAACTTATCGTTGAACTGCTTGTTCTTCTGATTAATATACGTGACATCGCCAACATCCTGCTCGTCCCTGATTCCCCTCGCCGCCCTCGCCTTCAACCTCGCCCTCTCCCCCTTCTCCAGATCCTCGACCAGCTTATCCACATTCTCTTTCCGCGGCTTGTGATCATGCGTGTAGTCCTCGTCCACCGGGGTATTAATGCGGCCGAGGCTGTCGACCGTGTATATCTCGCCCGACGGCGTTTCCACCAGCTGCAAAAGCCCCGACGAGACTTGATTCTGCAGCTTCTCTGCCTTGGACGCAGCGTACGCTTCCTGGTCGACTTTGCTCATCTGCTTGATTTGCCGCTTGTACACTTTATTCGCTTCGTTTCTATAATCGGCAAAGGCGACGCCGTCGCGGTTCCGGCTCTTCTTGGCCATGCGCTTGTCCCAGCTCTCGCTCTCTTCGACCGTGTAGTCCCAGTTCCGCTTGCGCTCAAAGTCTGGGTCATCGGTTTTGAGCAGCTTGTACGCGGCTTTTTCGTGCGCGTCTTGCAGTTTGGAGATTTGAGCGAGGCGGGAGGAGCGGTCTTCTGCGTCGCGGACTTCGCGCTCCGTAGCTTTGCGACCTGAGACTTTTTGTGCTTGGAGGGCTTTGAAGCGCGCCATGCGAGCGGCGAGGGCGGCTTTGGGGTCGTTTGCTGGAGCGGCCGGGGTGCCTTCTGATGATTTGGGGGCGTCGGTAGGAGACGTTTCGGAGGTAGGCATTGTAGAGGGTGCCTCCTCTTGTGTAGTTGCTTTTATTTCGTCGGCCATGGTGAGGAGTGTGGAGCTTTGCAGTGTCAGCGTCGCAAGTCTACCCAAGAAATGTTGGAGTCGACGACTGCCAAGATACTAGCGTCATTGCTGGTAGATATTGCCATCTATTCATTCACTCCACACTGTTCACGGTGGCGCAAGCAGATAGTAGTTTAAATAGCCGTGCCACAGAGTGATTACATAGCACGTGTATTGCTATCTTGCTGTCATAATTCCTCTATCTCTTTCTGACAAGCTGGTAATGTCATGATTCTATACGAGTATGTGGAAACCAAGGATCGATGCTGTGACTCAAATCCCCTGATCTGGAGTATCCTTAAAAAACCAATACTCAAACGCCACGCTATGCAATGAAGCCCAAAATCTAAAAGTGATTCCATGATCAGTCTACAACTTCACTTTCTTACCCGGCTTCTGCTCCATCGTGTCATCCTTCTTTCGCTTGAATATACTTTGACTCTTCATCTGGCCAAGACCCGCCTTGTTCGCTGGTATTGCCTTGGCCTTCAGACCGAACCTCAATTTCACGGGCGCTGCCTCCACCTTGGGCTTATCCTCGGCCTTCTTGTCGCCATCCTTGACCGTCTCATCGACCGAAGAATCAACTTTGTTTTCTTCTGTGGCTTCTGCATTGGAAGTAGGTGATGTGCCTTCCGCAGGTGGAGTGACTTGTTGCACGGCTGCGTTGGCGGCTGCACGTTTCGCTTCAATCGCCTTCTTCATCTCAGCCTCCTCTTGTGCACGCTTCGCCATCTTTTTGAGCATCTTGTCTTCGCCAGCTCCACTCCTCGCTTCTGCAGCCTCCTGTTCAGCAATCTCATTCCGCCGTTGAACTGCCGCAATACTGGTATCTCTCCATGCAATCATCAGACCATCCTTCTCGTCCTCTTTGACGTGGCAGATACCCTCTCGTCCCAGATGTTTCGTAAATTCCGTTAAACTATTCCACCGTGTGGCGTTCATGTGAACATGCTCCTTGTCACGGATGTACTCTTGATAGAATCGGTTGACCGAAATGAACTTCTCGCCATGCGCTGTGCGCAACAGTGAGACAAAGTCGCGCTGGAAGTCGTTGCTGAAGTTGGCAATGTATTTGCGCGGGTCTTCACCGACGACTTGCATTTGACGGACATGCGACTCAGACTGAACATGACATTTGAAACCGTTGGCATCGCGACACTGCTTCTGGCAGACTTCGCACCACCATCGCAGGCGCTGGAGGCCCTTTGACTTCATCTTATTCGCGACATATTTCGTACTTCCAACTTCGGCTTTACCCATATTGCAGTGTATGCGCTAGTCGCGACTTTCGTATTGGCGGTCGGCTTACAGTCGCTTTGTGGGTGAATGGTGGCGGCGATCGTATGGTGTGGTTTTTGTGGAGTGTAGGGCGAACGTGGAGGGAACCTTTTGAAGGTCAACTGTGGAGCTGCAGTGGAAGATCCGCTCCCGCCACTAGCGCCGGCGCTGATTACGACCAGGGTTTTTGCCCTGCGGAGGTGGGTGGGCCAGTCAAGTCACGTGCATACACCTTCGTTCGTCGCCCCATGCCTCAAAGTGCCCTTCATGCCCCGGCCTTACACGTATGACAGCTACTGAACCGACAGGTGGGAACAATCTTCCATCTTAGTAGGACTCTTATCAGACTTGAGGTGCACGGTTTGGAAAGGGAAGAAGATTCATAAGCATAAGGCAAGCAGGTTAGAGGAAATTCGTGCCTTCAATTGTATTCTTTCTCATGTGTCGTATATGATGGTAGACATACCCCTATTGTCGGGTGCCTATTTAAATCCCCAAGCATTACATATCCTCCTGCCATTACCCTGTGCCACGGCACACTACATGAGTAGATTTCGTCCCGTTCTATCTCGCATATGTATCCCGAGAATATGATTGAATTATCTCATCCTACTAAACCTAAGTTAGACGCACGCTCTTGCTCTTGATGGCTTCCCAGTCCTTCTTCATAAATGGTATGTATCCATCACTATTGGGCGGCAGCCAGTAAAAGTGATCTGAGCCAGTAACCTTCTCTGGATCCACACCTTCGCTCTTCAGTCTACCCTTTTGAATCTTCAAAGTCCCAGTGTACTCGAGCTCAGGTGTGACTCGCAAGAACAATGGAACAGCATAACTAGGCAAAACGGCTCGGGCATGCTTGGCCAGCCCTTGGAAATCAAAAGTCTCTTCTCTGACTCCGTCTGCCATCACAATTGAAGCAGCGCCTGCACGCCCGTCGTAGCCTGGCACTAGCACTCCGTAAACGTTGGTCTCGGCAATTTGAGGAAATTTGCCAATCATGTCGGCGACTTCGTTGGTAGAGACATTCTCAGACTTCCAGCGGAAAGTATCGCCTAGGCGATCGACGAAGAAGACGCGTCCATCCTTGTCTTGTCGCATCACATCACCAGACTTGAACCACCTGCTACAGTCAATTTGTGCTGAGCGAAACCACACTACCACCACTTACAAGTCACCCTTTTTGAACACATTAGCAATTCGCCTACTTTTCGTTGCAGCCTCATTGTTATAGTAGCCCGGTGAGCTCGCAAGTGTTTCCGGAGTCAGCCGATGCAGAACTTGTCCTGGTTCGTTGACACCACATCTTATAGCAAATCCGTACCCATCCCTCTTTATATCTTCCGTATCCACGTCCATTTTCACTCTGACTTCTTGGTCATTGAATCTCCAGTGCCATAACAGACCTCGGAGACCAATAGCATTCGCAGTGAAAGGTCCAGCGTTCCGGTTGAAGGTTGCGCCCAGGCCGTCAGTAGCAGCATACAATTCATTGATGATAGGGATGTTGAAGCGCTCGCGGAACGGTTCCCAGACGTCAGGCCGCATGCCATTGCCCCAGGCGACTTGAACTTTGTGTTTACGCTCATATGGACTAGGTGGACCGTTGAGCAAGTACCGACACAACTCGCCAACATATTGAATGATGTTGGCATCAGATGCTGCAACCCGGGGCCAGAATGTCTTGTGAGAAAATTTCCTGCCCAAGACAACGGTACTACCAGCATGCACGGTAGGCGTTACACACAGACCATGGGCAGCGCCATGATATAGAGGCATACATGTGTACATGCGGTCCTTTGGTGTCAGTTTGAGATATTTTGCAATAGTATAGCCTGTAAGGAGCTCTTTGCCCGTGCTCAATACGACACCTTTGGGAAGGCCCGTAGTACCAGAAGTGTAGAGGAGTGACCGGACCGAATCCAGACTGATACCCTCCTGACGCGACGCTGGTATGGGAACAAGGTTATTTAGAGTAGCGAAAAAGGACGAGTCGTAGTACTGGATCTTGACATTCAGCTTTTCGAGCTCCAATCGACATGGCTCAACATGGCTGTTCACGTCCACGTCTGTAATCAGATATCGCGCATTACATATCTGTGCATCTGTCAACATTGTAGGATGCCTGATAGCCAGACCACAGACTTACCTTTGCGCAATGCACAAGGCCAGCTCCTGTCAAGTTCCAGTTGATAAAGCTCGGAACCGCGCCAATAGCATCCAATGCAAACCAGAGCATCACATACTCTGGGCTATTACCTCCATCTACAGCAACGACTTCCTCCACTTTGACATCGAGATCATCGATCAGCCAATTAGCCACACTGACAATCGCCTGATGGAACTGCTGATATGTCCATGTCTTGCCTTCGAATACAAGAAAAGGATGATTTGGCTGTTTCCTGGCTTGATCTTCGAAAACATGGTATGTGAGGACGCGTTTGCGTGCAGCACATTTGGTCATGAAGTCAACGACATCTGGGGAGAGTGCAAGTCCGTCTCGTGCATTCTCGAGATCGTGCGCAATGTGAAATTTGGCATTGAGGTATGCAGCGAGCGCAGCCGTGCCTGCGACACCAGCAGCTACTTGGACTTGAAAGGTCAGTATGATGACGGACGTTTTCTCGGAAGATTAAGGAGGGCGCAGTTCATATGACCATGGAATTAGCGCTGCGTGAACTCGTATTCAGCATGGGGTTAGGCCGTGCCAAGCTCCACTAGCTAGCTAAGCGAGGTTAACCAAATATTATGCCGTAAGATTTTGCAACGCGTTCTAAACCTGTTCTAAACATATTCTATACTAGTAACACCACAAGCCGCCACTACTATACCTGTTACTAACGCATCCCTCTTATCCTACGTAAGCAGATTAAAACGTGTTTAGAACGTGTTCTTAACAGGTTATAGAAGCACTATTAATAGTACCTTGCCCTTGGCCGCGTCCTAGACAACATTAGGGCATAGCCTGTGGTTAGCCCTAATAGGGCAGTTAAGATAGAGAGTAGAGAGCGCTACTACCGTGCTAAGATTAACAACAAGGGCACCTTATGCAGAGTAAGAACAGGTTCTAAACGTGTTCTAAACAGGTTCTAATATTCTTAGGCTATTCTAGGTACTAGGGGCACTCTATATACCTATGCTAAAAAAGATTATAGGCTTAATATAGCCTACTATAAGGTTAGTAGGGTTAAGAAGACTAGCTAGCCCTCTATAACAGAGGTCTGTAAGGCAAAGAGTAAATATGTTGTTAACCTATTCTTAACTTATTATACTAATATATATAGACTTCTATATAAAGGTTATACATAATTACTAGAACGCTCCTTGCTATAAGTTATTTAGAATATGTTTAAAACTTGTTACTAATATATTTTATAGAAGTTCTCTAAGCCTAGCTAGTAGCTACTATAGGCCCCCCTATAAATGCTAATACCCTCCTAAATATAATTTGGAAGAAGACTTACAGTAGCTACGACAGCAACAAGGTACAGCCTGCAAGAACCTATTAAAAACACGTTGCTAACTTGTTATAGCTTGACTTTATTGCTATATCTACCCTACTAAGGATTTAAGGTTATTAGGTTCCTTATGCTATCTGCGCTCGCGATTATCCTAGCCGTAGTAAGTTATTCATAACATGTTGTTAACCTGTTCCTAACGTGTTTTAAGACTGTTACTTTAATGCTAGTGTGGACCTTGCTAATTCCTGCTAGAATGCCGCCTAGTTCTACTTGCGGTATGCTTTTATAGAGCCTAGGGAGGATAGAGAAGATACTAGAGAGGGGGAGGGAGATAATAACAGCAATAAGTAGCGAACAGCGTTAAGAACGTGTTAAGAACAGGTTCTAATAAACAATGTATAATAGCATATAACCTAAAGGGGTAGTAGTAATTACTAAAATAAACTCTCTACTCTTCTCTTTTTTTTTCTATCTACTAAAAGTAAAGTACTGTTTACTTTTACAGGGTCCTTTAATAGTATATAACTTTTTCTTTTAACTTTTATAGGTATTGCAAAGCTCTAGTAGTCCCTTAGATTAAAGAAGAATCTGGCATTTATAGGTGTCTAGCTATAACGTATTATTAACATATTTTAAACATGTTTTAAGAGACTAGACTTATATCTCCTTTTTGCTACTTTTGCTAAATATTATTCACAGTGTAAAGGGGAGCAACTATTTACTCCTCTTCTTTACTCTCTGCTTCCTCTTTAGCCTCTACTCTAGCTACCACTTCTTATTATGGACTAGCTATCTTAGAGGGTTCTTAAACCTTAGAGGAGGCACTTAGTGCAGTCTACTCTACTAGCGGAGAACGTATTATTAATGTGTTTAGAACACGTTCTTAAGCATTTACTATTAAGCTCCTATAGAAGATCCTTGCTTCTGTAATGCCTTGTATTGTGGTTCTGCTATAGTTTACTAGGGCTATTTAAACCTTAGGATAATACCTCTTAAGGTAGTAGATAAGATTGCCTCTATTAGAGAAGCGACGCTAAAATAGTTATTAACATGTTATAAACGTGTTCTAACTCGCATGCATACATACTCTACAAAGTTCCTGTACCCCTAATCTAGCCCAAATAGCCTAGCAGAAAAGCTCGCTAGGAAATACTATACACCTATTATTTAGGTAGGATATTACAGGAGAGAATGCCCTAGTATTAGATAGAAGTGACTTAAGCTTAATATATCGCTGGTATAAATCCTACTTAGTGTTAGAACAAGTTTACAACGTGTTCCTAACGCGTTCTATCACATACTAACTTTAAAAGATCTTTGTGGACTATATTAACTAGTTATATCTAATAATATTAGGAAAGATAGATAGTAAAATAGTATTAAACTCTTAAATATAAAAAGTTCTTGTAGAGTGTAAGAAGAAAGAAGAAGAAAGAGAAGAAGAAAGAATATATATTTATCCGCTTATATGTGCTTACGTAATAGACTAGAACATGTTAAGAACTAGTTAGGAACTAGTTACTATATTTGTAGACTAACCCTACCTTGTATAAAAAGCAGCTATCTCTTTCTTAAGTTTAAACTGTGCCTTTTGCAATTTAAACAGTGCCTTTTTCTGTGTAAGTTCTTCCTTATCTACCTCTAGCTTTTCTTTTCTCTCCTTTAGAGCCTAATTACTAAGAAGAGCCTTTTATTGCAAAGTTTGTAGTTATAGACTAATAATAAGTTAGGAACGTGTTGTAAACGTGTTTCACGAAGCATACCTTTAGGTTGCTATTAGTAGAGGAGAAGAGCCTAGTAGTGGAGAAGATAGAAAAGGGGCTAGTAAACTTCTTTCTAATACTACTCTACTACTTGCCCTCTGGCTTTAGGCTTTTAAGCGTGCTCTTTTATTTCTTATTAGGACTAAGATATATCTAGTTAAGTTAGATATAGCAAGACTTGCTTTATTATTATCTAGAGTGTTGTTATTATTGTGGGACGCGTTCTAAACACGTTCTAAACACGTTTTAATTAGCGAATGTGCATAACGCTAGCGTAAGACTTACTTTCTCCCCTCTAAAGCTTTTTAAGGTACCTTTGCTTAAGCCTATTAGGAGTTCTATAGTTATAGCGTATTCTAAACTTGCTCTAGGCTTTAAACTCTTTTATATCCTGCAGATCTATCTAGTGTGCACTACACAATGTTACTTATACAATTCTAACAGGTTAAGAACAGGTTGTAAACTTACTTCTAAGTGGCCTTAAGAATACTTACATGCTTACTAGTTTTATATCCTTTCTAGCCTGCTTGCTTAGCTATATTTGAATAAGATTCTAGTTTTTCCTATACCTCTTTTAACATTTCACTACAGTATTGCACAATCCTAGCAGTAATTACTAGGTTTTTCTTATAGATTGCCTAGTTTTAGGTATCTTTAGAGGGTTCGTGTTCTAATTATGTAAGAATAAGTTAGGAACACGTTTAGAATAGGTTTAGAATATGTTTACTTATGTAAGAGGAGGTTAGCAAGCTAAAAGTATTCCTCTACTATTAATGCCTGTAGTAATTTATTTAGACGTAAAGAGGTAGTATTATCTAGCTCTCTTTTACATGCTTTGTGAATACTTCTTTATAGATGTACTTAATAAAATCTTATGCAAGATTAAAGTTGCTAGCGCTAGTTACGCTTGTAGGGATTAATTGACTAGAGATAGCGCCTAAGTCCTAGAAACAAGTTAGAAACACGTTATAAACATGTTACGGTACGCTGTAAAACTTGCCTGTTATCTGCTTGTTACACATATTAATAGTAGTCCTATAGAATCCCTGTAAGTGAATATGCCTCTATAACACTTGTCTTTTTGTAAGTGCTTTACACTTCTAAAAGAAGTTAGTAATAGCAACTTGATACATCTTAGTTGTGTCCTTGTCTATAATAATTTAGCTAAGTATAATAACTATAACATGTTAGAAACGTGTTACAAACCTGTTCTTAATGCGTACGCTTCTTTTCCTGTGGGTAGAAGATTACTATTAGAATCTCTGCCTATGCCCTATATAACCTCTTATATAACATATCTATCTAGAACGTGTCTTAATCTAATAGAATTAATGCCTACTCTTTAAAAAGGCAAATAATTAAGTTACCTAAGCTTAATATAAAGATTTGCTGTATATACGCCTGTAGTAACGTGTTAGCAACGTGTTCTAAACCTATGCTCTTACACCACGTACAGTTTTAGGATCCTAATGCTTTGTCCTCTACTTATAGTGTACTCCTTTAAGGCTACTCTTAAATAGGAACTATAGAAGCTTTTCACGCTTTATAATACGCAAGATTTTATCTTTATTTGCGAAGCTAATATGTATTTCTTTAATAGAATAGAAACCTTTAAGTTAGAGATAGGTTTAGAGCTAGGTTAAGTTTAGGAACTAGGCTGTAACAAGTTAGGAACACGTTTGTAACAGGTTGCAAACAACTTACATCGCGTAAGCTGTAGAGTAAGCATAGGCTGTAACACCTTTACTACTTCCTTAATATTACTATTAGATAGTGTTAAGGGAGGAGGAGGTATATGTGTATGTATACTAAAAGAAATAATAGTAAAAAAAGGTATTGCTACTATATCTATTAGTATAATTACTTAGAAGGTAACTTTATATAGGATTTTAAACAGAGATCCTTGCCCTTGTGGATAATTAACGCCTAGAATATGTTAGGAACATGTTAGGAATAGGTTGCAATATGCCTACCACACTTCTTTATCTAGCTTAACTGTGGCTTAACTATAGAATATAAAGCAGGACTACTAGAAAGATTTAATATCTCCCTAGTTAGAAGACCTTGTAGATATGTGGAGTCTACCTCTAGTAGTACCTAACTAAAATAATGTTTTTTCCTAGTAGCAGATATTAGGCTGTAGTTCTAACAGCCAATGTATGGTTAAGCCTGTTCTACAATTTACTAACTTGTTGTTAACACGTTTTAAACATGTTTAAGTTTTGCTCCCTACCTAATTTACTATAGTCCTTATTATAGGATAATAAGACACCTAGTAGTCCTTATAAATCCTTAAAGAGAAGCGCTTAATAAGGCTATAATAATAGCTTCTTGTTTGTAGTTCTCTTTATAGAATTTTCTTAGGTACTGCACTTTTTAAGGTTTAGATCTAATTATACAATGCGTTATTAACAACGTGATAAGAACACGTTTGTAACGTGTTCTTAAGATACTTACACGCTTTTACCCTAGAGTATTAGTATTTATACTAGCTTGCTGGCTAGCTATTAAAGAATAGTAAAGTTGTAGGCCTGTTAAGATAGATAGACCAGCAGGAGTATTGTACCTGCTAGAATTAGAACAATTTAAGAACGTGTTCTTAACGTGTTACCTGTGTAGCCTGTACAAGCACCTCTTCTCTTGTTAGGTAAGAGCTATCTTTATATTGCTAAACTAGTATTATATACCTATACCCTTGGCTGTGTAATTAAGGGTATGCTAGGAGAATAGCTACATGCTTAATAATTGCTAGTGTAAGTGGTGGTCCTTAACTATTACTACAAGTAAGGTATACATTATGCCCCTATAACGTGTTACTAACCTGTTCTAAACTTGTTCTATTTACTTTTACTTACTTCCTTAACGCTACTGCTACTATCCTCCTCTAGCACTTTATACGGTTGCCTAAATTCATCTCTAATATTACTATCTAGTTTAGATATGTTGTCTAGTACTGCTGTACTAAACTCTAGTATAGTATTTAGGAACGCCTGCATATTGTTAAGAATAGGTTTAGAACACGTTTAAAAAAGATAGTAACAAAAACTGCGTTTACTTGCTTAAATTACCCTAATTTATACTTAACTATAGGCTAGTTTATATAACTATGAAAATTTGCCGCTGTGACGTGGACTTGAACCTACAGGGATATTCTAACCACTCGGAGTAAAGCCCAAGTCGCCCGACGCTAAATCCATGGTCATATGACATGCCACCACAAGATTAAGCATTGCTTACGAGCCATGTCAATCCCGAAAGTTGCTCTATTTTTAGTGGCACCAAGTGGGATCAGAGAAGATCAAAGGAGTTGCATACAACCAGCCGACGCCGTCCCAAAACTATGACCACAAGCGCCAACGTAGATGCGGTGAGAGATCGTACGTCTAGCCCACACTGATGAGTGATTTATGAAGATGGGATAGGTCCGAGGTTGTTGCAAGGTTCATTGTTTGAGGCCCACGAGTCAGCAAACTGCAACGATACATTTCCCCGCAAAGGGGCAACAACAGGCAGGTCCAGCCGAAGCCTGCAACTCGACGGACGGCTCCATTCAGTTAGTCAATTCACCCAGCGCTCTCCCATCTACTATACACCGTCTTCGAAATTCGGTCCTTGAAGTTCAGCAAGACAAGATTAAGCGCATTCCACGTCCTCTCGACTCGGCTTGGAATCCATAGAATGTCGCACGTACAGGTGAGGGATAGTTACTTGCGATTCATACACCACAAGTAGCAATTGCGACTTTCTAGTTTCCACTATCAAATCTACTCGCTGCAGCACATTATGCTCAGATTCCTGAATTTGTGAAGAACCAAAAAATTTGGTCAACCTCCAACATCACGGCGCTCCTTTCGATGCTCTAGAACAGAAGCAAAGTTGCCCGAAGTCCATCACGCACAATGAAGAACACAAGAGCTATGGCCAGAACAACCACACGTATCAGCAGCATGAACACCGTGACGTACAGCAACTTGCACCTGCTAGACATTCTCCGACCGCAGTCACAGACTACATACACGCGTTCGAGGCCATGCCCACCATGCAAGATATCCACAGCGTTCTTCTCTCCACTTCACGAATTGTTGGGAGCTAAAATGCATCACACCTGTATTAACCTCGAATTCCATGATATATAACCCAAACGGCACAACCCTCCCCCCTCCAATCAACCCTATACCATATCCTCAGGCATTAAGATACCCAGCAGCACAAGAAGCACCCAAAATATTTCCGCATCCACCAAACCTCAACATCACGTACCCACGGCCAAGCACGCCCAACCCATCACTCCCCCAATACCCCCCCACATATCTCAACCGAGCAGATTCCTATCCCCCCAACTTGCTACAAGTAGCATGGCAATTCATAGGGTCCTTGACGAACTTGAGACAGGTCTATCACAGATATCAGTTCACAAATCAGCAACTGCATGTTCTTGAACCGCTACCATGGGGTACCAAGGGGGGTATTTTACGTTCATGCAAATATTGTAGAGCGTGGTGCACCGGCTGCAGGATGATATGGCTGTGGGTGCGGGTGCGGGGTCCGTGTTAGGGGTCGAGAGTGTGAGGGCATTGCTATTGGCCTGGGGTACAGGGAGGCTGAGGGCGAGGGTGAAGAGGGTGATTGTGAGGACGGTGGTGGAGAGCCTCATGGTTGAGAGAGTGGTCGAGTTTCGAGGCTGATGGGTGGTGGAGTTGAGGATTCTGAGGCGTGGGTATTGGGTGTGGCGCTGGTGTGCTGAGTGGTAAATGAGACAGTGGATGTAGATGCGGAGTTTTTTGTATGCGATGTGAGAAGTAAGTGTTCCTAATTCGGCTTTCAATTTTAACGTTTGAAGCGGGCCTCTCAGTTATGGTACCGTGATGGAGCAAGGCGGTGAAGCAGGAGCGATATAACATGGGTTGGTTGGCGGGGCTTGGTTCCATATCAGAGGTATTGTAAGTGACACGCTATTCGATTGAAGGAAGCGAGGCTTTTTTGCACCTTCGTATTGAGGATGAGAAAAGGAAGAGTGTGGGTTGGGTAAATGAGTGGCAATACAAGGGAATTTACACATGGTGGAGAAGATCATAGATTCTGTCAATTATTTGGCAGCACACATTGCAACTTGTGGACATTGGGCTTGCAAGAGACTAGCATTCATCTTCGTCGCATGTTTCAATTTACCACAACTGATAATCCGAGTCAAAGCCCCAGACCTAGAAACCGTATAGAATTTCCGCATGGTCCATAATCAAGCATGTTCAGAGTGCCAGAAACCTGTCGCTAGGTATCTGCACCATTCTAGCAATGCCACAAGCACACCACATTGCAAGTCTTGCCATTGATGTAGGAGTTGCAGGCCTGCTGCATGCAAACATCGTTGCAGCCGTTGATCGTGGAGCAGCGCTAGGAATAATTAGCATCTCTAGGTGATTGTTTTGTAATGTTTGGGCGACTTACATCCTGGCAGCCCTTGTAGACGTTGGAGCACCACTCGCAGGGCGTCTCGGCGACAGTGTTGGTGTCTCGGACCTGGGCACCGGAGGCCAGGCTGAGGAAGCCGAGTAGGGCGAGGACAGTCATAAAGGTCTTCATATTCGCTGAGACGTGCGAGGATGTGGAAGAAATTGATCGGAGAGTTTTTAAATTGTTAGAGTTGAGAAGCTTCAGTGGAGATTTCTCGGTGGTATGGGGAGAGAGGGAGAGAGGTCTGTATCTTATAGTTTGCAGTCTGGGGATAATGCATAGAAACTGGCCTGGAAGTCAGGGCGTCAGGGGTAGTTACGTCAGTGTTGGAACTGCGGTGGGGGAGGGGGGGGCGCTTGCTCTTTC